GGAATGTAAGCGTGCTTATAAAGAGGCTCTGTGTGGGTGGGGTAGCATTTTGAGCCTGAGGGATCTGTTGGGTTTCTTTTGGGTTTCGGGCTCAGTATGTTCAAGTAGTTTGGTTAAAGAAAACTACAGGTGGGGAGTTTGGGGTATATAGGGTTTTTATAAGGCTTCTATAAGGTATATCGACCTTCTATAAGGTTCCTATAACGATAACTACCCACCTGAAAATGTCCTAGAGTTTGGGTTGCTTGCAGTTGCACCACAGTAAAGCAGACCACCATGATTTTTCGAAGCAGTCACGCACGTCTGTCTAGAGGGCATTCAGCTCGCCATGTGGAGCTGCGCAACAGACGCAGCCCCCTCGGCCACCCTCCCTAAACCCTAAGCAAACCCTAAACATCCCTAAACCTCAGGATGTTTACCCCAGACCAAGGAAGACTACGTACTCTACTGCTAGGCGGACAGACCGACCGCCATGATTTTGTCGAAGCAATTTCCCGTTTCCGTCGCCCAGGCATTCAGCTGGCCAAGTGGAGCTGCGCAGCAGCAAGACGAAGCTTCCTCGGCCATTGGCTGGTTTCTTGTGGGTTGTTTAATTGGGTTTTGCTTGGGTAAGTTCCTAGGTTTGTACTTGGGGAGTATATTTGGACGCGAGGCTTGGGGTTCTTGTTAAGGAAACTGTACTAAGTTGATTACTATACCGAGAATCCAGAGAAAAAAAAAGAACACTTGCCCTATCACGCTATCTTGGGTAGGTTCCTTAAACAAGTCACAACCATTCACAACTCATTCAAAGTACTAGCTCTCGCGTTCGTAAACGCCCACATAAGACTTCCGTGGCATGGCCTTTGGGACCACAAGCCATGACGAAAAGAGTCCTTAGAGCCTTGGGTGGACCGCGATATTCTCCACGACAGACGCACTTAGAGCTTGCAACAAGCATTCACTGCACAGTCTAGGGTTCTGGCATGGTTTAGGGATTAGGGTTCAGGGTTTTGCGCTTCGGGATTTCTCAGGGTTTACCCTAAATCCTGAATCCGTAAACCCTAAGCCATCTAAGCCCCAAGCCCCAAACGCTAAGCCCCCTAAACCTTAAGCCTTGCTTAGAACCGTTCAAGAACCCCTTGGGGTCCTATTAAGAAACACTACAATGAACCTAAGAACCCTCGAACCCTGAGCCCCGAACCCTAAAGTCTAAACTCTAAGTTCGACACGCTAAAACCCTAAACTCTAATTTTCTAAGCTTTACTAGACCCTAAAACCCTAAAAATCCTTAGGGCGTCCAAGCTTCGATACCTTCATGTCGGGTTTCTGCATCAAGCTCGCTCGCGGAGCGCTGAGGACGATGGCCCCAAGGACTGATCTAATGAGAACCTGATCTGCTAATGGGTTGATGGTTTAGGGGTTTAGGGT